GGCATACACAGAAGAAGGAAACCAGGGCAGGTAACTGAGGGCAAAAACAAAAGCAAGCCCCGGACCTAGAAGAATAGTGTCAGAAGTGCTAAAAAACAAAAAAATCCAAATGAGAAGGCTAGTGATGAATGCTAAAGATGGCAAATATGATTTTTTTGAAGCTACACTGGGAAAAAGAACAGGATCAAAGAAAGAAATGCTGCTGTGGGGTAGATGATATAATGAAAATGGATGATGGAGAGTAGAGAATTCGCCTCTTATTTTGGCTCTGTTTTCTCTGCCAAAGAAAATGATCTATAGTTTGGAAAGAATAGAATGAAGCACGTTAACAGTGACGTAAAACACAATGTAAGTAAGGAAGTAGTAGGACAGTGCCCAGATGCCTTTGATGACTTCCAAACACCAGGTCCAGAATATATCACAGGATCCTCGAAAAACTGGCAGATGTGATTGCCAAGCCTTCTTAGTATTTTTTGAAAGAATGGAAAAAGAACTGAAAGACTATAGATGGACAAATGTACTGATTTTTAAAAAGAAAAGAAAGTGGAGTCTTCAAAGTTTAGGTCAGTAACTTTGATTTCTATTCTTGGCAAAATTCAAGAAAGCATGATTAGAAGAATAGTGTATATTGATCTAGGAAAGGAAACACTGATCATCACCACCAAGAGCCAACACTATTTCCTAAAGGACAGATCATATCAGATTTAGTTTATTGCGTTTTTTAACAGGCTGTATAGACTATTAGGGGATATTGTATAATTTGCCTAAATGTTAGCAAAGTGTCTGACAATATGTTAGAATTTTATAAATTAGATCTTAATAGCGCATTAAGAGATAAAGTGAACAGAACATGGGAGGTGACAGGCCCACAGTACTCTATCCTAGTCAGACCATATATAGAGTGTTTTTTTCAGTTCAATTTTAGGAAGAACACCAATAAGCTGGAGATCGCCCAGAAGACAGTGACCAGGATGAAGTGAAGATTGGTGATCAGATCGCATAAATACTAATTGAAAGAATTGGGGAAATTTAGCCCGGAGAAGAGATTTGGGGGAGGACATGGTGGGGACCACATGGGTTGGGGTACATAGTCTCTAGGGTCCTTTCTAACCCTATGATTTTGTTTAAAAAAGGTTTTAGTTAAAATTAAGGTTTAGTTAAAATTGATGTAGGCAACTAAAAAAAAATTTTTCCTATCTACTTTTCCCTTCATTCCTATTTCTTCATTATGCCATTTTTCTTTGTGGTCTTTTATTGCTGCCTTCAACAACAGTAATGGTAGCTCACCCAAGGAATAGGATCATTGCTTATTTCTGTGAATAGTATTTACCAACTAGTGAAGCTAAGACAGATGTCATTTCATTCTTATTTCCTATGAATTCTTCTCTTCCCCATCATCTCAAAGTTCATTTCTCTAACTTATCCCACCATTCATCCCTCCATGGCAGCTTTTAGTAGTAGAAACAGTTCTACATTTGTACTTAGAAGGCCTGGGTTTGGAGCTTGGCTCTTCCCCCTACTGCCAATATGCCTTCTATGGTCCTCAATTTCTTCATTTGATAATGAAGATGTTAGACGAGATGACCTCTAAGGTTTCCTTAAATTCTAAATAGCAGAATCATGTGAGCTGATTGGTCTTAGTATCAGTAAACCATTATTAGACTCATTCCTTCCTCCATACATCTTTACTCAGATTACTCAAGTTCTCCTCTATGAGATGGCCCCAGACACTTCTCTGCTTATCAGAGTTCGGCCTTATCTAATCTTGTTTTCACACAGAGACATGCATAGTTTCCCTTTCCATGCTGTTCATTTCTGGCCTGCTTCAGGTCTTAATCATTCTAGAATACCAGAAGGGAAGTACTTCCAGCTCCTTTCACAAACAATCCTTAAGTCTTATTCTTCCAGTTTCCTTCTATATCAGTATTTCTTCTCCTCAGAGCTGAATCTATTGAAAACTATAGCTTTACTTTGTATAGGACTGGAAAGTATGGAAATATTCAGTACTACAAACGATAAGACTGGGAAAATGGGGTGGGGGGGGGAAAGGCATGCTATAGAAATTAGCCATTAGGTTTGTTGTTATCATTCAGTCGTTTCAGTCATGTCTGACTCTTTGTGACTCCATTTGGGGTTTTCTTGGCAAAGATAGTAGAATGGTTTGCCATTTCCTTCTCCAGCTCATTTTATAGATGACAAAAATGAGGCCAACAGGGTGAAGTGACTTTCACAGGGTCATACAGTTTGTAAGTGTCTGAGGCCGGATTTGAACTCAGGAAGGTGAGTCTTCCTGATTTCAGGCCCAGTATTCTATTCACTGCACCACCTAGCTGCTCAACCAAGGTCTCCCTCCTTCCAAAGCCTTCTCTGGGGTCTTTATATGTAAGAAATGAGACGAAAGTAGCTCATTAGGCCTCATACAGGTTATTGTATTCAGTTCTGGGAAGGACCGGGTTAAGCTGCATAGTGTCCAAAGGAGAGCAAACAAGATGGTGCTTGAAGGGCTGTTAATGAGACAAGGATGGGACTTGTTCTGTTTGATACCAGAGAATACAACCATGAGTGATGGGTTAAAGTTGCAAAGAGAACAATTTAGGCTTGATGTCAGGAAAAAACTTCCTAACAAATGGTGCCATCCAAAAGTGGAATGGACTGAACAGAGAGGTAATGAGTTCCCCAATCTTGGAAGTCTTCAAGTCAAACCTGGATGACCAATTGTCACTGTTACAGTGGGGATGCATTTTGTATCTGGGTTGGACTAGATGGTGGTGAGATACTTTCCAACCCTCAAATTCTGTAATTAGCTGATTTTAAGATTTCTTCCAAGTCTAACAGTCTATCTAGAAGGGGAAGGTCATAAGCAGGATAACGCTGGAATAGGAAAGGGACAATTGATCTGATGTTGTCCCTGTACCTAATTTTACCATTTGTAATGTTTATAAAAGCATCTTAGTAACAGAAAGATTCATAACCTGGACCCAGCCAACTTTACCCATTCTACAATCCAGCCAAACTGACCTATCTGCTGTTCCTCATACATGATATTCCCTCTCCCATCTCTGTGCCTCTTCCTAGTCTATTTCCATAGCTAGAATATATTCCCTACTCATCTCTGCTTCTTGGAATTTCCATTTTCCTTCAAAGCTCAGCCAAAGCATCACTTCCTACATGAAGCCTTTCGTGATTCCCCCTACTAGCTGCTAATGCTGCCCTCCAATTACCCTCTATTTATTTTGTATACAATTATATATGTACATGTTGAACTCCACACCCCACTCCCAATAGCAAGTAAGGTCCTTGGGAACAGGTACCATTTCTTTTCTATCATTGTATCACCAGCACCTAGTACAGTGCCTGGTATATAATAGGAACTTAATAAATGTTCATTGATTGATTGAAAGAAGGAAAAAAGCCATTCATCAAATTTAACTTAAGCTACAACTAGCCTGTTTGTGGCTGGGTCTCAAGTCAGCCTGAGTAGTTCCCATATTAAAAGAACAAGGTTACCACATGAAAGGTACCATTTAACTGGTGTACAGGTAGAAGGGAGAATGCAATACCATCAGTATAAGTGGACGGATGGAGGTTGGGGAAAGGGCAGCTCACTGCCTCGGCCTCTGTTTGACCATCTGTCCTGCTTCTTGGGTTGTCTGCAATGGTGGACCTTAATTTGAGTATGTGTGGGTTAGCTGTATTACAGCTAAAGATAACAGTGGCATGGCACACAAGAAGGAGAGAAAGGATTCAGGAGATAGTGGGACAAGAGGATCAGGGAACAGGACTAATCTTTCTTCAGGCATTTAAAACAAAATAAGATATAGAGACTCTTTCTACAACCTATTTGGTCATGAAGTGAGGGAGAAAGAAGTTGTATCTTGGACATATTTCCAAAGAACTTACTGGATAAGTGATTTCTGTTAGGATTATTTGTTTGTTCATTCATTCTTTTAAACACTTACCAAGTGCTTATTATAGTTGGGAATATTAGTATACATAAGACACAGTCCTTTCCCTTCATGAGTTTATAATCTAGTAGAGGGCATTATTTGTATTTATTTTGGTACTTTCCAGCCATTTCCAGGCACTCCAGCCACCACGGCCTTCACCTCTTTGCATCAAAACGTGAGCTGGGCCATCTCCAGTTGTCCTGATCTATATCTGGCCACTGGACCCAGATGGCTCTGGAGGAGAAAGTGAGTCTGGTGACTTTGCACAGCCCCCCTCACTTAAATCCAATTCATTTAAGTCATGGCATCATCTTCCTGATGTCATGGTCCTCTTTGAGAATGAAGAAAAAACCACACGAACAATCAAAAGCTGAACTCCAGCCCCTGAGAACCTGGGCCCTGATTGGTGAATTTTCACCTTATTTTGTCCAATCCCAAGCCCACCGAATCACTTCCTGGTTGTCTCCAAGCCATGCTATCTCACATGCAATCTCCATTTACCTTCCTTGCTTTCTAATATGGACTCTCAAATGTGCTGTCTTCCTCTATTTTAGAAATTCTTGTGGGCAGGGTCTGCCTTGCTTTCTTGTATTTGTATTTCTAGCACTTAACACATAGCAAGCACTTAATAAATGCTTTTTCATTCATTCATTTCTTAGATATTTTGTGTTGACTTATTGGTGTTTTAGTTTCCCAAGCAGGGAGTATCTTGCTGTATTGTATTTGTGTCCCTAATACACGTTCCTGGCATATAGTAAGCAAGATATATGTGTGTGTGTGTGTGTGTATTTATATGTGTCTATATATATATATATATATAATTTCATTGTGTACATACTAATGTTTATTTCTTGGTTTACTGGTTTCAATCCCTGAAGGCAGGGACTGTTTCTTTTCCGTCTTTGTCTCTCCAGCATCTAGTCTAGGTTTGACACGTAATAGTTTATATATAAACATATGAAAGTTAACTGAATAAAATATGTACATGAAAAGAAATACAGGGTTACTCCTCTTCTTCCCCCAATAAAAGGAAGAGGGAAAATGGACAAATACCTGGGTCGAGGGCTGCTCCTTCCAGAGAGATGATGCAGAACAGTTTGATCAGATCGCCTCGATATACTGTTGGAGTGTCAGAATGCACTGAGACGTTAAATATGGGCCCTGGAAGAAAATAATTGTGATCCCATTATTCCTATTGCCTTGGTTCAAAATTTAACTCCAACTCTTAAAATAAATTTTTACATGAGTTTAAAAACATTCAGCTTCTTCTCACTTAGAACTAGCCTGGGAACATCTGCTGAAAGATTTTTTCTACATTCAGATACCAAAAGCTTAACTCTGCCAAATGAATGCATCTGAAAATCAAGAGCAATTTTTTTTCTTCCCTTTTCCTTTCTGTGATGCCAAATGAAGCATGCTCATTTGCAGGCCCTGCAGAAGGTCCCTGGCTTATTGTTATTGGTAGGGTTCACTACTGGGTAATGAACAGCCATCTTAGCAGTGGTGGTTACTGGACATCCATCCTTCTTAGAATTCTACCTTTAGAGGAACTGGAATTGGAATTGTCCCATCAGTCTCTCTGAGAACCACCCTACCTCACCACCCCCCAGCAAATACAGAGGATAATGATGTAGTTCTTTGAAAAGGGGACTGAGAGTGTTATATCTCATTAGATTCTTACGAGGTAGATCATACATCTAGTGACATAGATAGATACAAATACAAGTTAACTCCAGGTGGGGAACAATGTTCTGAATAATTTTGGTAGTTGTGAACTTATGACAATGTTACAAAGAAACCCATACAAAGCAGAGCTTAGCATAGTAATAATATTTTAATGGCAAAATTAATCAAACATATACTTAATGATAAGCATAAGTGTAATTGTTCTGCATAGTAATTAGATGTACATGGCAAACCATTCACATAAATGAAAATTAATGATTGGATGGCAGATTTAGAGTGAGAAAGGACCATAGAGGTCATGTAGACCAATGCTTTCATTTTACAGATGAAGAAATTTAGGCCTACAGATGTTAAGCAACTTACCCATATTCACATAGGAAGTTAGCCAAGAATCAAACCTGGGTCATTTCACTCCAACTCCATACCCCTTTCCATTGTCAGTCATTTAGTTATATCTGACTCTTCGTGATTCTATATAAGGTAAGGTAAAGATACTGGAGTGGTTTGCCATTTCCTTCTTCAGTGGATTAAGGCAAACCGAGGTTAAGTGACTTGCCCAGGGTCACACAGCTAGTTAGTGTCTGAGGCTGGATCTGAATTCAGGTCTTCCTGACTCCAGGCTCAGAGCTCTAACCACTGAGCCACCTAGCTGCCTCCACTCTTCCACTGCATTGATTCAAATTAAGCATTTATAAAGTCAGCTACAAGAAAGGCATAGTCTTGGACAAGAGATTAGATGTTGTAGCCTCTAACTTCAACCTCTGTCAGACCATTTTGTTTTGTTTCTTCTGGTTCTAATTCTAAGAAAGAGTGAAGTCTAGAGTCAATCCCATTTCCCCACAGCCCACGACCTCCCTGTTTATCCTGGGCAGGCTCCCATTACTTGGGGATGGGCATACCTATCAGCCAGGGTTTCTAGGGCTGTAAAGAGGCCCTGGCCAGACTTCCAAGAAGTAAGGGAAATAGACCATAGCTATGGACTATGAATTCTTGGGTTTGTCAAGGGATGCCAATGAAAAGTAACTCTCTCTTCTCTGATTAGACAAAGAGATGAAGGCTACCCTTCTTTTCCCACCCTCTCCCCTCAAAAAAATCCTGGCAGAGTACAAAAAAAAAGTCTGCATGGGGAGGGTATTTTGTAATGGTACCATTTAATCCAATTTCAATCATATTGTTTTCTTAATGAGTGTTAAGGGAATGGGAATTTTGTTGGGGAGAGTAATTCAGAAATAGGGCAGGCAATTCTGGGTGGGATGCTGAATTACAAGAGGGGTACGACAGGGCTGGCCCAGCAGGTAAGACAGTCACAAAAAGGGAAGTGCCAAGGACAAATTTCACCGCTAGACTGACCTCCCTCCAGCCCTCCTCCCTCTCTTCCCAAGGCAGTTTGTTATTTGACTCTTTCTAGGTCTTGATCTTCCTCTTTTCTGCTTGGAAGAGTGAGGCAACAACTAGCCTGACCCACTAATGCTCAACCAGGTGTTTCAAAGCTGTATCGGGAGATATTTTATTCAAAACTTAGCAGAAACAGAGGATAAAATGATCACAATTTTTTGTTGTCCAGTCATTTCAATCATGTTTGACTATTCATGACCCTATTTGGGATTTTCTTGGCAAAGATACTAGAGTGGTTTGTTATTTCCTTCTCCAACTCATTTTACAGATAAGGAAACTAAGGCAAACAGGGTTAAATGACTTGCCCAGGGTCACACAGCTAGTATGTTTCTGAGGCCAGATTTTCCAGATTTCATTAGGAAACCTCAGTTTAAGGGTGCCTGTATTTCTTATTCTCCCTGTTTGCCATGGTACAGGATAAAGTTTCCACCACAATCCTGATGCTAGGAACGAGATTTTTTTTGGGGGGGAGGGAGGGAGGCATGGATGCAGCAATGAATTATGCATGGTAGCAACTTATTAGTAATGAAGACAATACTGTCACCACAGGTCTTTAAGGTCTGAAATACTTTCATTATGCTGAATTTTTGTAGTAATGGTATTTCTTGAATTGGAATTGGACCAATTCACTTAAAGGATCATGGAACAAAAGTTTGAAGGAGTGTTAGAGCTCATTTAGTTTTATAGATAAGAAAACTGAGGCATAGGAAGTTAAAATGTTTTGTCTTGAGTTAAACAGAGTGAACCCAGATCCAAACTGAGGTTCTCTGACTCTGGGCTCTGTGCCCCTTCTACTCTCTTACACCAATTTCCTAAATGGGAAAGAGGGGCCCGGACTAGGAATCAGGGGACCAAAGTTCTAGTTGAGGGGTTCCTCTCTGGGCCTCAGTTTCCCAATCTCTAAAATTTAGGAGGTGAACTAGATAATCTCAGAGACAGAGCCTTTCCATCTCAGACATTATGTTACTAAGAGCTGAGTGACATGAGTCAAATTCCTAGAGGTCTCTCAACTCCCAATCTATCGGAGAGTGCATTTGACCACAGTGCCTTTCAAAATGCTATCTAAGGTCAGACGCTATCACCTCTGACCTGAACTGCTGGCAATATAGTCATCAATAGAACCTCTCAAAGCATCTATTTCTAGGCTGTCCCCTCTCCAAACCATTCCCCAAACAGCTACCAAATAAATCTTCCTGAAGCACCTCTAGTCTCACAGTTTAACTATCTACTTCTACTCACTCCTAATCTTCAATGACTCCCTCTTTCTCTAGGATAAAATATCAAGTCCTCAGCCTGGAATGTAGGGCTTTTAGGGCTTTTCACAGCCTGCTTTCCATCTACCTTTCCAGACTCATTTCACAGTATCTCCCTTCACACACTCTGTTCCAGACAAGCCTGCCTACCGACTGTTCCCCAAACCTGATGCTCCATGTATTTTCTCCCAGTATCTGCACAGACACAGGCTGTTCCCTCCGTAACACACACTTTCTTTTCACCTCCATCTATTAGCAATCTCTAGTCTCTTTTCAAGGTTCAATGGAGGTACTCTGGTCTTTTCTGATCTCCCCAGTTAGTGATCTCCTCGTCTTCAAGTTGTCTCATATTTATTTTGTTGTGTACTTGTTATATACCCCATTGGAACATACCCTCCCTGGGGAAGGGATGGGGAAGAGTGTCTCTTTATTGTCTTTGAATCCTTAGGACCAAGCACGGCGCCTTTGGGCATGATGCTTACAAATGTCTGTTGAATTGAACAAGAAGCAGAGATATGAAAGAAGGCTACTTTTGATCACATTAATATAGATTCCACTCCCTACCAATACCCCAAGTCATTAAAAACAAAGTAAAGTATTAACCAGTGGAAAAGCACCAGAGGGAATACCCATGGAAAAATGAGATGGGGCCAGAGGAAGAGAAGGAAATTAGTCACCAGGGAGAGATGCATTATAAACCGTGACTTAAGGCTTGCTGCACACTTAAGTGATAGCTCTTTTGTTATCAGGATGGATCAAGTGCTGTCTGGAGCCATGGCCTTCTATAGAGCACTCAGTTTTGATGGTAACTTATTTTTAGCGAAATAAGGGAATCTTCCTCGAGACTGAACAAGCAATTCCAAAGGTTTGGTAAGAAGGGGAAAGAGCTTGGAGGTTAATTTCGGTCCAGGAGCTACAGACAACATAGACAAGCATCACATGACCTTCTCTCTTCCAATTTGGGAAATCTAAGAGTATTTCCTATATGTAATTAATTTTTGAATGATTAGTTTAGAAAATATAAAGGAATAAATGAACAGTCATCATGGAAATGACTTCTAATTAAGGGTCAAGAGGGCAGTCACAAGAAACATTAGTAGAAGTGGTCTGCACCTCATGAAGAATATCACTTTCCCTTTCTGCATCCCAGGACTGGGGAAAACGGATGAGGAATTTTCAGTGGCCCAAGTTTAGTCCCCTATTACAGTAAGTCAGCAACTTGAAACTTGTGATGAATTGGTCTCATTATCCCTTGTGCAAGGTTATTAAGCTATTAAAGCTAAAAACTGCACTCAGACTTTTGAGACCCACACATTTTTAAAAAATCTTTATTACTCATTGCTGTTCTTAGTAAAGACAGACAGACAGACAGACAGACACACTCCACCTACACACAACTGCCCTGGGTACTCTGCCAAGCATGCAAGCACAGAGAGAGCTGTTTGCCAAGCCAGACGCAATGCCAATGGAATGAAGATGAAACTGTCTTCCCCTGTATGGAAATACTGCTTTGATTTTGGGGGTGGGGAGGAGAGGGCTGGAGGAAGTCTGCACCTGTCATTTCATCACTGTAGGGATTCCTTCTATGGATTCCAAGCAGCCACTCACCTGTAACATACAGTCTTAAAAAAATTGCCTGTGACTCAGACAGGGCAAGTCTTTTGCCCATGGTCATAGAGCTGTTATGTATCAAAGGCAGGATCTGAACCCAGGACTTCTTGATTCCAAAGCCAGATCTTTTATTTACTATGCCATGCCGCCTTGATAAGTCATACTAATAAAAGTTATGGTGCATGTCTGTACCAGACTCCCCACCTCAAGCTCAACCACTTATGTAACCTTGGGCAAAAAAACCATTTCCCCTCTCTCAGCCTCAGTTTCTTCTTCTGTAAAATGAGGGAGTTGGCTTAGATCTCTTCTAAGGTGACACTGAGCTCTACAATTTTATTTTTCTATGATTCTACCTCAGTTCGACACCAACCTGTGGTTTGGAAGTCTATCTGAATTGGATTAGATAAACTGGTCCCTGCTTCTCTCCACAGGTTGCCTCCTGCAGGGGACCAGGCTGTTACCACACAGCGGTACAGCCCAGCATCGGACACCTGAGTCTGGTACATTCGATAGCGGAATTCATCTTCTTGGACCTTTTCCAGCACTACTCCATCAGCCCGGGCCTCGTCAGTCCAATTCTCCAGCTTCACCACCGAATCCTGGTCTAAGGAGATGATGTGCTTCGTCTCGTTGGCGCTGAAGGGGTCTGCCGCAGGCTTCTCAGCTGTGACAAGGACTGAATACCGAGGAGTCTTTATGTGCTCGGAGGAAACCTTACAAGTCATCTCAAAAGTATTTCCTGCAGCAAAGAAAGGCTTTGCCTTCCTTGCCTTCACGAGGAGCACAGAATCTGAAATGAAGCATCAAAAGAAATTAATTACAGAAGGGACTTAGGAAAGTTGGACTTTTTGCTCCCAGATATCTATCAAAGAAGCGCTCGCTCATTTGAACACTGTCCTAGACATGCACTTGCTCCCCAAAGCTGGAGAGTCAAGGAAGAAAAAATATGTGGATTGGAGGACAAGTTGAAAATCACTAATGAGGCAGGATGAGCTCTAGAGCTCTCCCCGCACAGAGGGGCGGGAAGAGACGGGTCAGGAAAAATTTGGTTCTGGGCCACTGGAAGATGAATTAGAGGAAGAACTGGTGAAAGTCTAAGGAGGCTCCTTCTGTTCCTAATAGGGTACTCTGGATGGCTCTGGAGAGCTCCAGGATTATTGGTACTGTACAAAGATAGTTCCCTCTCCTTTCCACCCCATTTCTGTCATCTCCCTTTTTCCCCTGCCTGCACTCTTCTGCCCTACCTCCTCATTCCACAGATTAATCCAGTTCAGCAGGTAAAAACTGGTAAATGTCAGGGCATGGGGGTGGGACCTAGGGCTACTCGATTCAGAGCAGGACCTCATGTCTTACTGCCATTCACTCATCCTTTGGAATCTGTCCTGATTGGTGGACCAGTAAGTGAAAACTCATCATATCCACCCTATCTATCCCATGTAAGACCATGCTTCACAATCCACCCCGTAGGACACTAGGGTTCACCCAGCATGGACATGCTACCAATCTGCCCTGCCTATATGTATTTCTATGCACCCTATTATTCCCATTTTCCAGTTTTTGCTCTGGAAGAAGCATCCACACAACTGAAAAGGACACGGCAATCTGGTCCCTCACGACTCCACTCATAATCCCTGTGGCTTCCTCATCCAAAACTTTGCCTGGCCATTAATACCCTCTATGTGCTGTATCTCCTATTAGAATTTAAGCTTCTAGAGTGAAGACTTATTCACTTTTGCATGTGTATAGTACCTAACAATGCCTGGAATATACTAAGTGGTTAATAAAGGTTGTTGAGTTTCTAAATCAATCCCTAACAAGTCACTCAATCCCTGAGACTTAAGTTTCCTCACTTGTAAAACAGAAATGCTTGGCTACATACCTATCTCACTTTAAAGTAAAGTGAAGAAAATGCTATACAAATGTGAAAGCCCTATGGAAAAATCATCATCACCATTTTCATCCTGGGGAAAAAAAGGTCATCATGTGATGCTTTGAAATGCACATAGTAGGCACTTAATATTTATGGAAATGAATTGAAATGAGCCAGATTCTGGTTCTCTGTCTTGCTGGACATACAGTAAGTGCTGCTTGCTGAACTGGATCAACTGTGGGGTAAGGGATAGAGCAGACGAATGGTCAAGAGGGCAAAGACAGGATAAGAGGCAGGAATTGCCTTTAGGTGCTTCTGAAAACTCATTCAGCAAATACTTCTTGAATGCCTTCTGTGTGCAAGGCACTGTGAGGAGTACAGATAATAAGACTGTCCCTGTCCTGTGTAGCTTACCATATAGTAGAAGAAAAAAAGAATTATATGTAGTGTCCAAAAACTCTTAGTGCAGTTTAAAACTTTAACATTTGAAAATGCAAGACTTTTGAGACATTCTGTACAATTCGTATACTTTAATACTGTACTCCAAAGCTTAGGGATTAAGTACAGTTAGTGCTGCTACAACATGCTGCTATAACGTGTTTCTAAAAAATCATGTCGTTATGCAAAATTTTCCAATAAAAAACACAAGCTTATGGGAAAAATGGGGTTAGGAGCACAATCCTTCCAGTCATAATTGTTTCTTTTATTTTTGCAACATTGCCTCTGATGGGCCCCAATGTGGATTCCATTATGTCTGTTGCTCGGGAGATATGACATGTTCTCTAGTTTCTTCCAAAAGGCTTTATTGATTCACATTTCTTCTCAATATTTAAAATTTTTCCTTTTGCATGCACTGATTGGCATTTTTGAACCAGAATGCTTAGATGTTTGAGGATATTTAATGAATATGCGTGTGTGTGCACATACATATACACATATATGTATGTATTTATGTATAGGTATGTGGATACATGTATGTATGTGTATATACACAGTTATATTAATGTACATGTGTGCATATATTATGTATTGAATATACATACATATTGAATATACATACATATACATACATACACACATATACACAAAGTTCACCAATGTTAAAGAATAACAAAACGCAAACATATAGGATAACATACACAAAGTGAAATGAGGTGGCTGGTGGATATTTAAGGTGAGTGGGGGTGGGCATTTTGTGTATTCCTATATAGCTCAGGTCAGGTGGGTTCAGCTTTCTACATTCACCTAGTGTTTCTTGTGGATGAAATCACACATAAGCAAACACAAAATCCACATGATGCTCAAATTGTTCCCTAATATATCAATGTGGAATTGGAACAAAAACAAGCATTTTAACAGAATTATTATACCAAAACAGAGCTATGGTCTGCTCTGTTCTCAAGTGGTAGTACTCAGATGATAAGTAACTATAATGACAGTCTATGTGGCATAGTGGATAGAATGCCTGACTTTACAGTTAGGGGAGACCTGGGTTCAAATTCAGACTCAGACACTCATCAACTATTCGACCATGAGAATAACATAACCTCTCAGTTTCCTCATCTGTAAAAAGTACTTACCTCAGATCACAAAAGTTCAAAAGAGATGATGCACTTTGGAAACAAAGTGCTATATAACTACTATATAGTATAACTACTATACCTATTATTGTTGTCACTATTCCTTATTATTATTCTATCTACCTCTCAGAGGGTCATTGAGAAGAAAGCAATTTGCCAGTCTTAAAGCACTAAAGACACCTTTCCTCAATAGACTTCCAGGCCTGGAGTCAGCAAGACCTGACTTCAAATGTAGCCTCAGATACTACCTATGTACCTTGGGCATGTCACTTAACCTTTGTTTGCCTCAGTTTCCTCATCTGTAAAATGGGCATGATAATAGCATCTACATGCCAGGTTTATTATTAAAGGGTAGTTACTACTACTACTACTACTACTGCTGCTGCTGCTGCTGCTGCTATTATTATTGCTGCACATAGTTACTCTCCGGGTCAACTACTACTACTACTGCTACTCCTACTACTACACATAGTTACACTCCAGGTCAACTACTACTCCTACTCCTACTCCTAATCCTACCATTATTAGACATAGACTGCAAGTTCTTTAAATATAATTAACCCAGGAATTGCTATCTATGAGGCTGCTGGGCACCATGTCAGCTGCTAATCCTCTACGAAAAAGAGGAATCATTAAGAGGAATCATCGTTCCTACCTTCTGTAACCCAAAAAATGTTGACAGGCTTGGATACGACTTCCTTGCTTTTCATCCAGCTTTTGTTGTGCTGTCTGGTCCATGCAGACACAACACAATAGTAATTTCCTCTGTCTCCCTCTAAAGTCCTCTGAATACGAAAACTGAACCTGGCTCCATCCTCCTTGGAGAAAATAATCTCCCCATTCTGTGCCCTCTGCCTACTCTTCTCCCCAATTCTCAGAGTCCAGTCTGCATCCATGGTGGCAAGTAGCTCATCAGACACAACTTCATCACTGCGTGAATCCATCCTGTAGTACCAAGAAACAGCGAAGCGGACGTTGGCATCTGCATTCCTCACGTCTGCTATCTGGCACTCTAGCTCTGTGGGATCATCCAGATACTCAGGGACCCTAGAAGCATTCATCAGCACCTCGAACAGTGGCTCTGTGAAAGAAAAGGGAAAAGAGAGGGGCTCAGAAGGAGCAGCCTGTCAGAGAGATAGCACAACAGAATGAAGTTCTGGGTTTTCTAAGCCACAGGATTGTTTTTATTCATATAATAGTAAGCTTAAACATCAAATAAAATGGGCATTTCCATATACAAAGTTACAACAGAAAATGAAGACTATATGAAACCGCAGACCTCTTATGAAGTTCAGTTGCTTTTCTTTTAAAATCTGTAATAAATTCAACCTGTCGTGTTCAAAGATGCCATACTTGTTTGAGACTTTCTGGTCTCGCTTCTGATCTCTTTTGTGCATGTCTTAAAAAGAAGCCAATGACCTTCCTTTTTTTTTTTTTTTTTTTTGTTGCTACCTTATCTCTGTTCCCCACTCTCCCGACCACCACCCAGCCACTAGGAAATAAAAAAAGAAAAACACACCATTGTAACAAACATGCAGAATCAGGCAAAACAAATCCCCACACTGACTGTCTGAAAACCATACGCTTCCACAATCTGCATCTTGACTATATCACCTCTGTGTCAAAAATGGGCAGCACACTTCATCATCAATCCTTTGGCATCTCAACTGGTCATTGCACTGATCACAACTCTGAAGTCTTTCAAAATTGCTTATTTTTACAATATTGTTGCTGTATAAAATATTCTCCTGGTTCTGTTCACTTTACTCTATATATCAGTTGATATAAATTTTCCCAAGTTTCTCTAAAACTGACCCTCAAGCCTAAAACGTTAGTTAGAAGGGACCCCTCGTGAATATTTAATTGGCCCCCCCCTCATCTTATAGATGAGGAAACTGAGGGTCAAAAAAGAAGTGATTTACCCAAGGCCAAACAGGTATTTAGAATCAGAACTGGGGAGAGGTGTCATGGAGAAGTACATAGAGCTTTGGAATCAAGAAGGCCTGGGTTCAAGACTTTCTGACAGTGTGACCCTGGGCAAGTGACTTAACTTCTAAGTGTCCCGGGCAACTCACTAAGACTATTTAGTTGCAGAAAATTTTCTGATCTCTATGAATAGAGCATGCCTTACAATAGAGAGAGAGAGAGAGAGAGAAGGGAAAGAAAGAAAGAAAGAAAGAAAGAAAGAAAGAAAGAAAGAAAGAAAGAAAGAAAGAAAGAAAGAAAGAAAGAAAGAAAGGAAGGAAGGAAGGAAGGAAGGAAGGAAGGAAGGAAGGAAGGAAGGAAGGAAGGAAGGAAAGAAGAAAAAAGAAAAGAAGGAAGAAAAAAAAGAAGGAAGGAGAGGGAGGAAGAGAGAGAGAGGAAGGAAGGAAGGAAAAAAGAAAGAAAGAAAGAGAATCACAGACTTCCAGAGCTGACTTCTGGTCCTGACTCCCAATTCAGAACTCATTTACACACCATGTGGCATTTCACTCTGACAGATTTCAGTAAGAGTCCATTAACCATCTATTCTACTATATACAAATGATAAAATGCAAAAGATGGAAGAGAATGTGAGGTCATCCAGTCCAAACTACTCTATAATAGATACAGGAGCTGAGGCCCAGAAGCATGTTTCACAAAAGTCACAGAGCTCATCCAGGGCAAATTCAGGACTCTAATTCAGATCTCCAGCCTCCCAGTGCCACTGTTCTTTCCACTGTTTCTTGTGGCTGTATAAGTTCGATTAAGGCTTCTCTGATTGAACAGAAGGATCTAGGAAAAGATTTGTTTCCAAACCTAAATAACACTGATAAACATGGCAAGAAATGAAGCTCTGAAAAGATACTTCTCAGAACTTTTAAAATATTCACAGAGATCCTCAGTTTAGAGCTGAAGAAACTTCAGAAGTCATCTAGTCCCATCCAGTCCAAACCGTCTTGTTTTCAAATGAGAATACTGAAGCCCAGGGTTAAATGACTTGCCCCAAGATCACAAAGTACTAAGTGTAAAAGGCAGGATTTGAACCCAGGTTGTCAGACAGCAGTTTGTGCTTTTTATCGCGCACTAGGCCAGGTGCAAACCTTAAAGTACCATATAAATACTAAGTTGGTGCTGAGGATACAAAGATAAAATAAAACAGTCCCCATATTCAAGAAGTTTCCATAGTAATTTAATATTTCTTAAAGAAACAGAAACTTCCCTTTATTCATTCATGATGTTCTATTAGAGCAGCTAGGTGGCGCCAGAGCACACGTAGCGCTGGGCCTGGAGTCAGGAAGACTCAATTTCCTGAGTTCAAATCTGTCCTCAGACTTTTACTAGCATGGTGACCCTGGAAGTCATTTAACCTTGTTTGCTTTGGTTTCCTCACCTGTAAAATGAGCTGGAGAAGGAAACGGCAAACCACTCCAGTATCTTTGCTAAGAAGACCCCAAATGGGGTCACAAAGAATGGACATGACTGAAATGACTGAACAACAATAACAACTAATAAAGACAGTAGGATTTGGAGTCAGAAAATCTCAGTCTGACACCTGGCCCTGCCACTTACTAGCCATATGACCCTGGGCAAGTCATTTTCACCTCTCTGAGCCTCCGTCTCCCTCATCTTGGATGATCTCCAAGGTCTCCTCTAGCAACGGCCTTTTATGATTCTGTAAATGCACATCTCATGCTCAATCTCCCACCATCCTTTCTGTCCAAATCACCTTGACTAAACAACTTAGTTTTACGGATGACTCATCTAGATTATAAACTGTTGAGGTCATGGTGCTCATCTTTGGTGATGAAATTTACAGCTTTGTGACTAAGCCAAGTGACTTACATCATTTAGGAGACGAGAAATGGAACAGAATTTTGAATTGTTTCTCCTATGTATGAAAATGAAAACCACCAGAATTCCTCATTATGAATTGAATTCGGACCACTAGAAGTTTTCACCATTGTCTCTGCCATTTTTGCTTTCAATGATTCAAGCTCATCTTTTACTGGAAAAATCCTCCCCTGAAGAAAAGTCACTTTAGTGTCTAATTCTCTTAGATGTTTTCAAGGGTACAAAATGTTTATGATTCTTCTATGAAATTGTAGATTATTATCTGTAGCTATAAATTACTGTTATAAAATATTGGGCAGCTAAGTGGTGGCATAGTGCATAGAATGCTGGCCCTGGAGTCACGATGACTTCCTGAGTTCAAATACGGCCTTAGATACTCAGTAGCTATGACCCTGGGCAAGTCACTTACCCCTGTCTGCCTCAGTTTCCTCATTTGCAAAATGAGCTGGAGAAGGAAATGACAAACCACTCCAACATCTTTGCCAAGAAAACTCCAAATGGGGTCATGAAGAGTCAGACACAACTGAACAACAAAGTTTTTCTTACTTATACACAACTTGTACTTTTGAAACTTGTAGCTATGAATCTGCAACTTAAATGCGCTTCATTAATTTTATTTATCTATTTGATGAATTTCTTTTGCCAAGTGGCAGTGTGGCTTAGTGGATAGAGAGTTGACCTCAAAGTTACGAAGACCTGAGCTCAAGCCCTGTCTCAGACATACACTGGTTATGAAGTCCCCGTGCAAGTTACTTAACCTCTAGAGACAGTTAACAGATAAAACTCAGTCATTAAACCTCTGGTCCTGGAGTCAGGAAGACCTAAGTTCAAATTCAGCCTCAGACACTTACTAGCTGTGTGACCCTGGGCAAATCACTTAACTTCTATCTGCCTCAGTTTCTTCAACTGTAAAATGGAGATCACAATAGTACCTACCTCCTAGGGTTGTTGTGAGGATCAAATGAGATAATATTTGTAAAGTGCTTGGCACGTAGTAGATGGTTAATAAATCCTTCCTTCCTTTTTCTCCTTCCCTCTCTCCCTCCTTCTTCCTTTCCTTCCTTTCCCTCAGGGCCTTAGGCCTTAACCAAAGAGATCATACAGTCAGTCCCTATTCCTTCATGTCTTTCTATAAAACATCATCTTCCTAAGGATTTCCTATTTGTGTGCAGTATTAGGCTCATCCCAATACAAAGCAAAATAAAATAACAGGGTCACTTGCCTCCCAGAGAGAGATGAGAAAAATATTAAATACCATATAGTTCACTTTGCACCTGCAGCAGAAACCCCTTACAAATCACCTGACTTCTGCTGAAGACCTCCAGTAATGGGGGACTCATTCTTCCCATGAAGCCTATGAGACTTTGAACAGTTCTGATGATTAGGAGATTTCTCCTTATTTGGAAGCAAAATCTGCCACTCTGTAGAGACATCATATTAACTCCTCAGGAAAGCTAATACTGATGAATACTGATAGAAACACATTTTAAAAATATCACAGAATCTCGTTCTTTTTTTGAGTGTCATTCTTAAGAGATAACCTAGGGGCAGCTAGATGGTATAGTGAATAGAGCACCAGCCCTGGAGTCAGGAGAACCCGAGTTCAAATTCAGCCTCAGAGACTTATTAGCTGTGTGAAGTCCCCTTGACCCTGATTGCTTCCAAGAGAGAGAGAAAGGAGAAGAGAGATACAGAAGGGAGGAGAGAGAGAAGAAGGAGAAGAGACAGAAAGGAGGGAGAAGAGAGAAGAAGGAGAAGAAGAGAGACAGAGAGGAGGGAAGAGAGAGGGAGAGAGAAAGAGGACAGAGAGAGAGAAGAGGGAGAGAGAGAGTAAAGAGGGAAAGAGGGAGAGAGGGAGGGAGGGAGAGAGAGACAGAGACAGAGAGAGACAGAGAGAGACAGAGAGAGAGAGAATCTGGCCCATTGTGATCATTTTTCAATAAATCAAAGAAATGCCCTGCCTTGTTCTCGGTCACACCACTAGTGAGGATCAGAATGCACCTTTCAGTATTCTCTCTAATGTTTTACTCTGCCTCTCCAATGTAGTAAAAAAGAGCAGTGGACAAAGTATTAGGAGGCAGATTAGCTTCAGATCTGCTGCTAGCTATTTGTGTGACCTTGGACAAGTCCCAAATTCTCTGGCTTTAGTACTCTCATAAATTATATACTCCATATTTTCATCACAGGCCAGTCACTGAACCTCTCGCGCCTCAGTTTCCCCACTTGTAAAATGCAAATAATCAAAATAATAGCAATTTACAAAGAGCT